CCTTGGAAGGACAGCCCCTGATGAAAACAGGCAGGCTGAGACCCAGAGGCCTCCCAGAGCGCTCCCGGGTGGACCCCAGGCGAGGGCAGCAGGCTCTGGTCACCCCACCCCCAGGGCGCCCCTCCTGTCCACCCTCCCCGGACAGGCTTCAGGCTGGCAGGCCCTGGGGAGGGCGGTGAGGTCTCTCCCATCTCAGATGCACAAACTGAGACCCAAGGAAGCTAATTCTTGAGGGGCTCTGAGAGAGAGAGGGTGACCTGGGGGGGGGTTGCCCCAAGGCGGGTACCAGGCATGGCGGTAGTTGCCCATGACTCCTGGGCCTGCCCTGGGCTGGGCCAGGCTGTTGGGTTGTCATGAGAGTAACATCCGGCCGCCACCCTTGGAGAGCTGAGTCAGCATGGCCGGGCCGGGCCGGGCCAGTGACTGGCACAGTGGGGGACGGCTGGGCGAGCGGGGCCTCTGCCAGGCGCACCAAGGTGACTTGGCCTCAGCTGGGCGTGTCCAGGCCTCACCCTCCTGCTGGCTCTAGGGTCCACACCCAGTGCACACACAGGATCCAAGCCGGGTGTGACACCGGATGGCCTCTGGGCCTCACGGTCCCTCCTCTCCAAGGGGGAGGTCCTGGGTCACAGGTACCTACTTGGATTGACAGCTCCGCTGGCTGGCCTGAGGAGGGGTCCCGGAGGCCCTGCCTGCCAGTGTCCCTTGTTGGGAGCCCCAATGGCTGGGCCTAGGGTCCCTCAGCCCCTCCCACCTGGGTGGAGAGGGAATGACCCCCTCCAGGAAGGAAGCAGAGTGTTACCAGCTCTGAAGGGGTCAGAGTGCACACGGGGTGTGGTTGGGCCAGCCCACAACAGAGCTGGCGCCCTCCGGCGTGGCTCAGCCTGCAGAGGCCCCTTCGTCCGGCCAAGGGCACCCCGGGACAGAGCGGCTGGGATGGGCCAGGTCTGGAAGGCCCTTCTCCCTCGGCCTGCTCCCTGCTGCTCACCCTCCCCCCACATCCCATGGCCAGGCACGATGGCTTCTGGGACGCACCACCCACGGCACAGCGGGGGACGAGGGGGTCCTGCCTGGGGCCACAGCTGTGTGCGGATGCCAGGCCCTGGGGGCCACAGCTCCCGACTCCTCCAAGGGAAAACCAGAACTTTTAAGTGGAATCGTTGCATGTCAGGGCTTTTGCAAATTGTGCTTCGTTGAGGTCCAACTTGCATCGAACGCATTTGAGGCAGCCGGGTGAGGTCCAATGCGTCCATACCTCTAAAGCCGTTTTTACTCTCTGAATGAACTCCCTCCCCCAAGGCCACCCCAGGCGCCCACGGGCACTGCGGTTTTGCAGGTTCTGGGACATCACAGAAACAGGGTCACCCAGAGCCGCCCTGCCCGGCTACCTGCCCGTATAGCACCAGTCCACGGCCGAGCACTGCCGTGTTGATGTACAACCATGGGCCTCCCCCGGCTCTGTTGGCACTGCAGGGGCATGTGAGCTACGGGGTGGGGAGGGCCGCTCAGGAGAGGGCAGCAGACTCCAGGCCCCATCCCCACCCAGATCACCCCCCCACGCACCTGCCCTGATCCCAGGGCCTGGGAGTCACTCGCTGGTTCTGAGTCTTATTTCCCCAAAAGGCTCCAAACTACAGGGTGGCAGGGCCACAGGCAGTGGTGGGGGCTGATTCTCAGGCCATCAGGAACAGCAGGGAGTATGGAGTCAGCCTGGACAGGCCTGGACATTGAAGCCCATGACCTCCAGCTTGGGGCTGTCCAGGGGGTCAGTTGGGACAAAGGGACCGCCACAGGGTCAGAGGCTCTGCAGTGGTGGCAGCTGGCCCTGGGGCGGGGGTCTGCCACCCGGGCAGCTGCACGAGCACTCTGTGACCGTGTCTATCACCCAGCCCAATGTGTGGGATTCCTGAAGCGGGTGGGATGGAGATGGCCAGGGACCACCTAGATACCAGAGGTGCTGGGGCCCCAGCAGAGGAGCCTGGGTTGGGAGGCAGCCGCCCTGCGCCCTCCTCGCCCAGGAACAACTGCGTGGCATCCGAGAACTGTGTCCCTGAGGTTCGACAGGGACACGCAAGAGCTCACAGCTGTGAACCATGCACGTAAGTGGGTGTGGCAACCTCACATTTTTTTTCTTTTTTTGGCTTTTCATTTTTATTTAAAAAATAGAAGTGGTGTCCTGCTATGTTGCCCGGGCTGTTTTCAAACCCCTGGCCTCAAGCGATCCTTCCACAGAACACACCACACAGGTCTCTCCTTACTCCGAAGACAAACCCAAACACCCCCGGGAAGGTGACCCTGGGAACATTCCTCCCCACCACTCATTTGGGCTGATCTCATTTGAGGCATCCTGGCTAGCTGCTCCAGGCCTCCGATGCAGAACTGAGACCCGGGAGAGGGCCTCGTAACAGAGGTCACCCCACGCAGCGCTCCGGCTCCCCTCTGCCTGCACCTCCAGAGACTGCAGTGTGCACACGCCGCCAACCTGCCACTGCTCCTCATGCCCGCGTCCCTCGGGACCGCGCCCCATCAGCACACGGGTGTCCTCCAGGAACTCCCTTGGCTGCTGCTGGGCACCAACACTGGGGTGGCCCTTTGCCTCTGCCTCCGCAGGGTGCCCATCCTGCATACACCCGTGGGACTCCTGGACAGTTAGATGGCCACCCAAGGTGACACCACTCACTGCAGAGGCTACGGCAATGCACCTGGTGGGCTCTCATTCCGTCGCGGAACCGCACTCCGACGCCGCCCATCGGAGCCGACACAGCCTCTCCCTGGGAGGCTGGAGAGTGGGTGTAGGCGCGTCGCCTGCTGCTGACACTGGTCAGGAGCTGGAGGGAGGGCCAGAGGGACCTCTAGGCCTCCCAGGGTCCAAGCTCTCCCTATCTGCTTCCTGCAAACCACCAAACACCCAGCCTGTGCACTAGTTCTGGTACCAGTTCGGCTTAAATATCCAGGGGATGCTGGCATTTAGAGAGCTTGTGGGGCTTTCCATGAAAGCGGTGTCTTATTCAGTCAACGGCCCACCTGCCCTGGTCAGGCACTGAGGGGCAGAGTGCAGGGCCATGGAGTCAGGTCCCTGTGAGACGGCACCCGCGCCTGGACTGTGAGGGGCCCACCAGTGGAAGGGGCACAGCGCAAGGACATGTGGCCTTGTGGCCCTCCCCACCTCTCCCAGGAGAAGCAGTCACGCAGGCAGGCCACAGACGAGCGGGAGGCAGCAGGCCTGCCGGCCACATGGAGAAGGCGAGCCAGCTCCACGCAGCCTTCGCCCAGCGTCATCTCTCCTCGGCGGGCTGCACTCTCAAGGCAGGCTTCCTGCAGCCAGGTCACAGCCAGGCGTTTGGGCGGAGCGCCTCCTTTCTCACCGAGGATGGACAAGACCAGAGACGCAACAGTGAGAGCCAGAGCACACATGGGCTTAGGCAGACGTTCCCTCCTGGAGCCTTCTGGACCCCCAGGCGCAGGCCCATGAACTCCAAGAAGTTCCAACCCCTTCCTGGGGCACAGCACATCTTCTCCCACCTGGTGGCAAAGGGCTTGCCTGAGGGCCCCACCGCATTCCGCAGTGACGCAGCCTCTTCCTAAAATGCACCTTCCAAGCCTCAGATATCAAAGCCCGAAGAGGAGAAGAGTAGCCCAGCAGGGGGCGCAGCTTGCTCATGGCCTGTCGGGACAGGAGGAGCTCGCCCCCCGCACCAGATCCCCAAAGAGACAGGCAACTCGGCACGAGCTTCATGTTTCACAACTTTAATAGAATATTCTAACTAGTCTGTACAAATTGAAAACACCGTATTCAGTTACAAATGTGTTCTAAGGTAAGGCTGAGCACTCTACATGCCTGGTCAGTGTGGACACACCATCCCCAGCTGCCAGAGACCGTGCCACACACTCGAAACCCACACACCAGCCGCCAACTGGTCACACCGAACCCAGGGCTTTAAGACAGGATGAGTGGGGGCCCACAAGTGGAGTTATGAGCAAGCAGGACCGAGCTGAGAAGCTCCCCCGCCAACCCCCACAGAGCGTGTGGTCTGCAGGTCACGAGAATGGGCTCCTGCCCCGCAACTGCAGCAGGGGCCAGAGTGTCTCCTGCACAGGCGAGCTCCTAGAAGACAGCACGCCTCCTGCTCAAGTCCCCAGCGGGGGTCAGGCAGTCAGTCCACAGTCTCCCCAGCAGAAACAAATAAATAAACACAAGGCTGGCCTGCCGCAGCCCTCCCAGAGTCTGTGTGGCCCAAGCCCACCAGCCCTAGAAAAACAAAGTCAAGAAGGAAACACCCTAAGGAAATACAGCCTCAGGTGGCACTGCTCTTCTGAGAGGAGGGACCCAGCAGCTGAAGCTGCTGTGGCACCCGGAGGCTGAGCGGTGGACACTGTGGGTGGGCTCTCCAAGTGACAGGGAAGCTTCAGCCCAGCTGCAGGAGCGGCTGGAAGCTCTGGGTCCCTGGAACCTCGAGCCAGGCTTCGGCCCTTCTGCGAGAGCCCCCCCCCCATG